CGCCTGGTGCTCCTGATCGGAACCTTTTCGGGTTTGGAAACTGCAGGCTCTTCCACTGTGAAAACGATCACTAAGAGGAGAAACTCTCCAGAGCCACCTCACCTCTCCTCCACATGGAGGTTGGATCATTCAATCCTGTTGACTGACACAGAATGTCTGCACTTATATATATAGCGCTTTTCTACCTTTGCAGCACTCAAAGCGCTTTACAATGTTTCTCATTCACCCATTCACACACACATTCATACACCAATGGCGACAGAGCTGCCACGCAAGGCGCTAATCTGCCATTGGGAGCCATTTGGGGTTCAGTGTCTTGCCCAAGGACACTTCGGCATGTGGGGGGAACCGGGGAATGTGATGTTTTCTTCTCTGCTCCAGTTTGAGGTTCATGGATAAATCACAGATGGGCAGCTAGTAATGACAAAAACATGTATATCACAGCACAGTGTCATCAATTACTTTTCACGCACGTCACACTCAACATGAACAGTCTTAGAACTGTCTGACTACATACATCCCATTCAACTCACGTTCATTAACAGAACTTTTTAAAAGTCAAACTCAGTACTCTTTGACAGAGAAATATTGTTTTCAACAGGGATGTCACAAATTATGTGAGGATTCTAGACTTTGTTCACTGGGTTTTTGGGTTTTTGTCTGTCTCTGTGTTTTGGTGGGTGTGTCTCTGTTCACTGCAGGCTGGGCGGAGCCAATCAGGGAGATCACTGTCAGCTGTGGCTGATCAGCTGTGCCCAGCTTAAATACTGGCGTCTCACAGAAGACCGACGCCAGAGGATTGTGATACCTACCACGGGGTAACAGTCAGGCCACGAGCTGCCACACCGCACTGCGCAATTTGATGTTCTCTAGCCTCAAGTTTATGGTACGTGTTTCTCTGCCTGTCTCCAGTTCTCCTCCTCGGCTCCAGCACTCGGCACACCTCCAAGCTCTCCAGCGTTTTGTCACCCACGGGATTTCACGACCACGGACACCTTCACCGGGAGACCCTTCACGAGAGCACCCCCCCACGAGCACCGAACCCTGAGCACCGGACCCCTGCGCACCACCCCGGTTTCCCTCGTCACGGCTCCCTCTCTGCACCGGGAAAACCCCCACGGACCATGACACTCTCAGGCACCGGCTCTTCGTGCACCACCCTCGGGACCCCCCTTCCTTGGATCACGACCCCAAAGACTTCACTCCACCACCCTCCTTCAATAAATAAATAAACTGTTTCCTTTAACCCTTCACCCCGTCTCCCTTTTCGTTTGGGTTCACCGCACTATCACCGAGCACGAGTCGTCACAAATTAACTACAAATGTTATTGTGGTATCTGATATTTCACCTCATGGATTTTGAAGGTTTAAGACAGTGGTCCCCAGGTCAAAGGTTGCACCTCATGGATGTGGAGTGTTTAGACAGGAGTGACCAGGTCATAGGTTGCTAAAGGAGAGTCGCCTCACTGTCTAGAGAATGGGGCTCCCCTTATGGTATGAGCCATATATTCTTAGTGTTTGGTAGACAACTCCCCTATATAAGCCAGTGCTTTACGTTAATCTGAAGGGGGGTTCTGAGATACTGGACTTGTTTCAATGAACTTCTTTAAATCAACAAAACGGTATCAGCAGGGACTTTCCTCATCACCTTTAAATCATTGCTACTTAATAAACAACAAGATTGTCTTTCTTCTTGAATGATCTGCAGTGTCTCCATTCCACTCTCATTCCACATCCGACATGCAAAATGTTAAAATTATATCCAGATGGTGTTTGTGCAGAAAAGTCAAACCACAGTAACAGAGGAACAACAGGGGGCGGGGGCTTTAGAGGGCATGGTTAAAGCTTGCTTGGATAAAAAGGCAGCCTATTGGATATTTTCAGCCAGAGACGTGCAGAGTTATACATTCACTTGTGTTTCAACAAGCAGCTCACTGATCAGTTGCATAAGGTCAGACAGTGGATTGTTCTTGATTTGGATGAGAAGTCACAGACACTGAGGCTACTGAGGCCAGAGGTGAGGATCAGCTTTACTGAGAGACTGTGTGCGTGCGCTGATTTTTTAACTTTTTATGAAAAATGTGCTTGTTGTTTTATTAAGCAAAACTTTTGTTGCACAACAAACAACGACTGCTAATAAGCACACACACTTGAGTTAAGATAAGACTTCAAACCACTGATTTGAATACATTTTAAAAGCTATCCTGTCCCTTTTTGCGCAATATTTGGCTCACACCAAATCTATACCACAGTGCAATCAACCACATCTTGACAACAGTTTCTGCTATATCCTGTATTGTTGTGCCCTGAATTAATAATTTCTGATGCCAACAAATAGAGAAATCATATGTCTGATTCTGAGGACCTGAAATGCATTGTTATGTTATGTTTTCATGCTTCAGCTTTAGGGTTTACCCACATCTTACAATGCCACCAAACGGAAACACATTTACAAAATGTAGGAAGTGCAGCTNGCTTCATTCCACAAGCTGTCAGAATGCTAACTGCTGATCCGAATATACACACGATTCTTTATTTAATTGCTTTTAGTTATTGGATCCTGAAAAAAACTCTTTCATTTTGTTTGTACTACTGTTGTATTTACAGCAAAATGACAATAAACTTTGATTTGATTTGAAATAAAAATATTTCAGTAGTACCAACTACTGTACCGTGGTGCACCATTTTCAAGTTGCTGTTCAGGTTATAATGACATTGTTCAGCTTTGCTAGCCTGAGCTACTTAAACAAGGATGAAGAAATAGTCTTTGTTATATAATACAAAACAAAATTTATTTTAAAAAATACTCACCGAAAACGTATTATAACACGGCATTAATTGCACCACTCCTCTTTATTTTGTTGTCACTTTTTACAGCGCTTCCGAGAGGCGGCTGAAATAGCCACCTGATTGGATAGCGTCAGCCACCCTGTGCAAGACTGTGATTGGCTGATTTGTGGCACAGTTGTAACGCTGTGCCAAGTTGAATGAACGTGCAGGCAGAGTTGAGCTTGAACAGATCATCAGTGTTGTACGCAAGCGAGAAAGACACCACAAGCGAGTGTGAATGTGTAGTTGAGTGCACAGAATGGAAATCTATGAGAGAGTAAATGACAAAACCATGCATGTATGTTGATAGTTGCAAACATAGCAGTAATAGTTTTGAATATATCTTTGCTTGCTTAGATTTTGTTTTTATTTGCTCGAGATTGTTTTCTGCACTCAAACTTTCCCTTTATGCACTCAGGATTGTGGCACAAACATAATTCCATAGAGGGCACTGTGAGGGTTTAGTGAGCAATGGGCCACCCTGACAAAGGCTTCTGTGATGCTTATTGGCCTTTCACTTGTAAGATTTCCTAATGCTAATATTTCTGTAGATGTTATTCTGTGTAGTGTGGGACAGTGAGGGAATATTGTTCTATATTTAATTTTAGTCTGGATGTATTGTGACAAATTTGAGGTGATATGATCACGTTTTCATAAAAAGGTTAAACTTGTTACACTTGTACAGTTTTATTTGAATGATCTGCAGTGTCTCCACCACTGCAGATCATTCAAACACAACTTCCACTCTCATTCCACATCCCACATGCAAAATGCTAAAATTATATCCAGATGGTGTTTGTGCAGAAAAGCCAAACCACAGTAACAGAGGCACAACAGGGGGCGGGGGGTTTAGAGGGCATGGTTAAAGCTTGCTTGGATAAAAAGGCAGCCTATTGGATATGTTCAGCCAGAGACATGCAGAGTTATACATTCACTTGTGTTTCAACAAGCAGCTCACTGATCAGTTGCATAAGGTCAGACAGTGGATTGTTCTTGATTTGGACGGGAAGCCACAGACACTGAGGCTACTGAGGCCAGAGGTGAGGATCAGCTTTACTAAGAGACTGTGAGTGTGCGCTGATTTTTGAACTTTACATGGACAGTGTGCCTGTTGTTTTATGAAGCAAAACTTTTCCTACTTGTACAACAAACAGCTACTGCTAATAAGCACACACACTTGAGTTAAGATAAGACTTCAAACCACTGATTTGAATACATTATAAAAGCTATCCTGTCCCTTTTTGTGTGACGTTTGAGCTGCTATATCCTGTATTGTTGTGCCCTGAATTACAGTTCAAGATATGTTAATTTTTGATGCAAAAGACCAGAGGAATCATATGTTTGATTCTGAGGAACTGAAATGTATTGTTATGTTTTGTTTTAATGTTTCAGTTTGAGGACTTCAGGATTCTGACATGATTTTATTAGTGCTGAAGATTACTTAATGTTTCCAGAAAAAAAGTACAGTTCTACAATTTCTTTTTTCTTTTTTTTTGTTATCCAAAGTGACATACATCTGAGAGTAGTAAATAATTGAGAATCTGGACAAAGAGCAAAATGTAGCCTATGGTCAGCTTCAGAGAAGGCACAACAAGCAATGTTGATTAGTAAGAAATACATGTAGTTAATTTTTTGTTTGTGTTTTAATTTTAACATTTTTTAAATTTAAATTCTTGAACATTTCTTTATCAAAAACCTTTATACAGCACATGTTTACGAAAGCTTAATCATTCAATTCCTTTCATTTTAACTGTTGATCAAAAAAACATCTGTACCAAAGAGAAAGCCTGCAGTTGTGCACTGGTTTGGAAGCGCGTGCACTGAAGTGTTCAGTTCTTGGAAGATGTGCTCACTTGTTTTCCTTCCAAGAGTTAAATCAGAGTTGCTACACCATCGTATCTGTATGACAAATATGAAAACAGCTTCTCATACTGATCTGCCTATGGACCCTCAGTCATTCTAGTTAATTATTCATAGTGTTCACCCACATTTTATAATGCCACCAAACACAGACACATTTAGAATATGTAGGAAGTGCAGCATTTGGATAATAATATTCCTGTATATTGTATTACTATTTGTAAAAACCAGGGGCCTCATTTATTATCAGTTCATAGAAAAGGTTCTAAATTCTGTCATGAATGAAATTTAGAATGTCTGTAAGTACAAAAAATATCTGTATTTCTTAAACATGCATACATAGGTCGTATGCACATCAGTAAGTCTTCAGTGTTGATAAATCCCAGTTGTTTTTAACCACCATACTCGTGCACTTTCGCGATCATTTGCCTTTAGAAATGCCTCCAATTAACCATATACAGTAACAGCATGCCTCTTTATTAAACAAGTGAATGTGTTTCCCCCTCACCTTTCATCATCGTAGCAGAGTGTGAAAAAGAGGAACTTTTTGTAAACCAAAATTGAGGTACTTGTCAGCGAGGTCGAAGCTAACCAGAAAGTATTGTGAGGTGCATTAAATGTGGGGATAACCAAAAAAACTAAAAATAATTTCCTAATTTCCTAAGTATAAGGAGAAGTTCATAAATTCCATACTTTGCATGGGAATGTTCCTATGCACTCATTACGCACACATCTGTGCATACACACTGATGAGGCCCCAGGACTTCAAATACGTTGTTCTATTTGTAGTTCAAAAGGGTCTTTGCTTCCTAAAATGTTAATCATGACAGCTTTTTTAAAACAACAGTATTGAAGACAATGTGTTTTTTCTATTATATGAGCAATGTATAATCTGCAAATATTTGTCCACTAAGATATCTGTCTCTTCTACAGAGATGGGGACATATCCAACCTTCGCATTCATCCTTCTGTTTTCAGCAACTCTGTCATCCAGCTGTAATGGTGGGAAAGTGCTAGTTTATCCTGTAGATGGGAGCCACTGGCTTAACATGAAAATCCTTGTGGAAGCGCTTCATTCTAGGGGCCATCAAATCACTGTGCTACGTTCCTCCACCAGCTGGTATGTTTCTGAATTCTCACCCCATTACACCTCCATTACGGTCATCCAGGAACAGCCCCAAAACATAGAAAGCCAAGACTTGATGTCCTCTTTCTTGGAGAGGTCACTTGAGATCCGCCGGAATGAAGGTTCACTATGGGCATTTTTTGAGTTTTATAGCAACATTTTCAACATAATAAGAGAAAACCAGCAAGCTGTGGCAAAAGTGGCCACCAGCATCTTTGACAATAAGACACTGATTAAGGAGCTGAATGAAACTGGATATGATTTTGTACTGACTGACCCTACTTTTCCATGTGGAGTGATTTTGGCACACTATTTCAAGCTTCCCTTGGTTCTAAATGTGCGCTGGATTGCAAGTGGGGAGGCACACTTTGCCATTGCTCCCTCTCCACTGTCCTACATTCCTGTATTGTTTTCCCATTACTCTGACAAGATGGACTTTTTTCAAAGAATGAACAATCTAATCTATCATGCCATGTTGGTGTACATGCACTACTATGTGTCCGTTCCACCATACCAGGCGATATGTGACCGTTATTTTGGAAATGATGTCAGCGCCATGACTCTAACACAAGGAGCTGATCTCTGGCTAATGCGGGTTGACTTTACCTTCGAGCTACCTCGTCCCACCATGCCCAATGTTGTCTACATTGGAGGATTCCAGGGTAAGCCTTGCAAGCCTCTTCCATCAGATTTGGAAGATTTTCTGGAGAGTTCTGGTGAGCACGGGGTGATCGTCATGACCCTGGGGACTTTGCTTGGTGACCTTGGCCCTGAGAAATCAGAGATCGTTGCCTCAGCATTTGCCAACATCCCGCAGAAGGTTGTGTGGAGACATTTCGGGAAAAGACCGGTCTCTCTGGGAAACAACACCATGCTGGTAGAATGGCTGCCTCAAAATGATATCCTAGGCCACCCTAAAACCAAGCTTTTTATTACACATGGGGGAACTAACGGCCTGTACGAGGCCATCTACCACGGTGTTCCAGTTCTGGGCATTCCGCTCTTGTTTGATCAGAACGACAACATGGCGCGTATGAAGGCTCGGGGTGTCGCTGAAATAGTTGATGTGATAACACTGAATGTTGAGTCTTTGACAAATGCTCTGAAAAATATTCTCGACCCAGAAAAGCCGTACAAACAGAATATGCTCAAGCTGTCACAGCTTCATCATGACAAACCAATAAAACCCCTTGACAGTGCAGTTTTCTGGATGGAGTACATCATGAGGCACAAGGGTGCAGCACATCTGCGCACTGAATCATATAAGCTACCATGGTATGCCTATCACTGTGTAGACGTGATGGCAGTCTTTGTAACATTTGGATTGGTCATCATTTCATTATTCTGGGTTTCCTGTAGATGTCTCATAAGATGCTTGGTAAGGACTAAAAAGTCCAAGCAAGAGTAGATAATATGATGACAAAGAAAGCCTGGCACTGTAGGAATGTAAAGCAGGAATTTAGAGTGCTATAGTAATGATGGGATAGCAGCAATGGACAATGTTTAGGATTTAGATAGCGTGATAGATCAGCTTTATTGTCTGCCTTTTTTTACTGTGCTCCTGGCGAATTTTACATGATTTGCATAAAATGGTTTGATGATGGTGCCCAGATAGCTCAACAGGTTCAACGGGTGACCCATGTACAGGGGCTATGGTCCCGGACGCAGCGGCCGCGGTGCAATTCCAACCAGCGGCTCATTTGCTGCATATCCTTTCCCCACTCTTCTCCCCATGTTTCTCTGTCACTCTGTCACAAAAAAATCTTTTTAAAAAATGGTTTGATGATTATTGTTTTTAATAATTTCTGTAACTCACCACAAATTCGCATGTTGTAATGTTTGTGATTGGTTTGTGTTTGTGACTCGGCCTTTAGCAAAACGAAACCCCAGTTACCAGTACTTGCGTGGCAGCTGTGCTGTCATTGGTGTGCGTGTGAATGACTGAATGAGAAACGCATTGGGGTCAAAAGTTTCCACCTGACCCCCTCAGAAACACTTTTTCTTACAATCATCTTAGTATATTTAAATTAGGGCTGGGACTTTAATGGGTTAATTTCGATTAATTAATTGTTAATTAGTTAACATGGCGAAATAAGAAAAATGCATTTGATCACACCTTTCTCAGTTCCCCAAGAGAGTGTGTGAGTTAAAATTTCAACTGGTTGCATAGATCCGATAGTTTCTGCAGAGCCAGAGACTGTGCTCTCAGGACCCGCACCGTCAGGACCACACTTCTTCTGTGGCCACACATTTCGAACAGCATTGTTTGGACACAGTGCATGGCTTACAGTTTTAAAGGAAGATTTCACTCAAAATATACTTATAATTTAAAAGGTTTATTCAAGGATGATTCCACAGAATGTACTACTTCATGTCCAAGTACCTCTAATATTAAAGGTTTATTCCACCCAAATGATGTTTTTTCACTAACAAGTTAAGGTTTGAAAGGCTTATTACACCCAAAATACTACTTATTACAATAATAATTAAAGCCACAAGCAGCGATGGACGGATCCTCGCTGTACGATTGTCGGCCTTCACACACATTGGAGTGTGGTGCTCTGGACGGGACTCTGATGTGGCGTGTCGAGTTTGGGGAAGAAAGGAACACATACCGCCTAGTTAAGAGCCACTTCCTGTTTAGTGGCGAGCCGTGTGGCATGCTGGCAAAGCACTCTGACTGAGACTCGGAGCACACGTGTAAAGTTTCAGGCCGATCAGAGCACATACAGGCCAGTTACACAGCACGTCTTGTATTCTGGCGTTTTATGGCGTTGTGGCCACATCCCGGGGGTCGCCATTTCCACGTCGTCAGACTTTTGCAGACCATTTAACTAACTGTTAATCACTTCCTCCTGCATATTGTGCTGGCCAAATTTCAGGTGTGTATGACCTTCCCTGTAGAAGGAGATGGATTTTGAAAATGACCAAAAATGTCCAAAAGTCAGCCAAAAATGGCAAAATTGTCAGTGTGTTTTTTCAAAATGGCAGACTTCCTGCTGGGTTTAGGGCTTGGTGCTGATTGACTTTTTTGTACGTCCTGACCTGACACATGCCCACCGAATCTTGTAGCTGTAGGTGAAACGTCCTTCCAAATGACAGAAACACAGCGAAAATGGACAAAATGGCCATTGATCAAAGTTGCACGGGACACCATTTCCAAACCGGGCCTCATCTGCGGAGTGTTTGAGTGACTTTTAATCACCACGTCCTGTAGTTTGTGCTGGCCAAATTTCAGGTGTTTATGACGTACCCCCTAGGAGGAGATAGATTTTGAAAATGGCCAAAAATGACCATTTTTCAGCAAAAATGGTCCAGCATGCGCGCTGTTTTTCCAACATGGTGGATTTTTGGTTGAGTTTACAGAAACATGCAAGTGGACTTTTTTGTGCATCACAAGTTGTTACATATGTGTGCCGAATTTCGTAGTTCTCGTTGAAAGGTAGCCGCGATGGAACTCTGTTGAAATACTGTAGGTGGTGCAGTTGAGCTGTGTTGCATTTTAGAGCTTGGCGCTGGCAACTTTTTTGTTTATCCTGACCTGCTCTATATGCCTATTAAATTTGGTTAGTTGTAGGCCAAACGTGCTTCCGACAGGACTCCGTTGAAATTTTCAAGGTGCCGCTGTGGAGCAAGTTTTCTATTGAGGTGTGTATTTTTATTCCAAATTATAAAATTTTTCACTGGGTATGATGTGTGTGCCAAGTTTTGTGCAGTTTCGAGTATGTTTAGGGCCTCAAAAACGCGTCTCTTTGGGACGAAGAATAATAACAATCAAAGAGCCTAATAATCACAAGGGTTTCAATAGGATGCTTGCACTGTTAGTGCTCGTACCCTAAGAATAACTTGGTTGCTAAGACTTGCATTTGGACACATTGTGTAATTAACATACTTGTGTCGTTATCAGGTAAAATAATATTATAATCAAATGCGGTGGCCTCTGTGGTCTCTTGATCCCGACTAGGGCAGTTGAAAAGGTTGGAAAGAGGTGAAACACAGGGACAGCTTTGGAGCCAGATATATATATATATTTATTTGATGCTATCCAAACACACGCACACACACACAAAAGTAAGTTAGTGTTGTGACTCCCATGGCTGAGTCACTGCTCTCACTACCTCCTAAGAGAGACTCAGAGAGACGCATATTAAAATACACAAGTAGATATAGCATTAATGTATCTGATAAACTGTACATATTTCACTTTTTTGCTGTGGCAAAATATATTTAGTTTTTCACAGTTTTGAACAAGAGAATGGGAAGTGATAGTTTTGGCCGCATCTGGTGTTCAATATGGGAAAGGATTTCCTTTGCTGAATTGTAATGTGCACCTTCAAAAAAGAAAGGATATTTGGTCAATTTGAACCTTTATTAGATCATTGTGAAAACATAAATAATCCTAAAGTACACCCCACCCTAGAACTGGACCAAAGACATACTAGATGTCTCAACATTACAACACAATGTCACAATGAAAAGATAAACTATGAAAACCTCTGCAGACAGACCCTACTTGCATAGGTGTGAGTGCATGATGATCATGAAGCTATATTGGCGTTGCTGTAACTGGCAGCTGCTATGTGAACCACAGTGGTGGAAAGCAACACTTGTATCGCATCGGTGTACTGCGCTAAAATGTGGTCTTCTCGTGAAAAACGGAGCACACCTCCATGACCTGTTTTCTCCGCTCATAGAAAAGACCACACGTAGAAAAAAAAACCCTCGCTTTTATCTCAGACAAATCTGACATTACAATGCTCTAGTTCTAATGTCTCTCTTACTCATAGACTGTATAAAAGATGGACGTAGCAACCGGCCCTGAAAAATGAAGCCAACGATTCTTGTCGATTTTTGCATCACTGGCTCCAAAAATCCAAGATGTCAACCAGGAAGTAGCAAAACCCTGGCTTCATTTTCTCAGTGCAGAAAACAACGGGTCACGGTCGCTACGTCCATCTTTTATACAGTCTATGCTCTTACTCTTACTCTTTTTTCAAGTTATTTTTGGTTGCACACGTTTCTGAGCGCACCACAGATACCAACAGCAGCTACCACAGCCTGCATTGTGGGGCATTTAGGGAACATTGGTAAATTGCAGCATCTATCGATAAGAAAATGTTCAGCAAATCACATTTTTTGTCTGTGACAAGGTGGGAAGTGCGACCAAATGAGAAAGTTGGTCACACCGGTGCTAAGAGGGGAGATCAAAATTCCCATATCGTGGGACTGTAGGTTGCAGATGGTTCATTATTGTACCTTGGAACTATGTAATCTGGATTCTGTAAAGTGAGGACCATTTAGTTGATCTCCTTGTTCTTGTGTTTATACTGTATTCTGTATTAAATATTGTAAATTTAAGACTCTGCTGGGGGGTTGTGACCTCAAGGACTATCTGTGTCATGCTTGCTCAGATAGTTCCAGAGCATCACTCGAGCAGAGTCACCGCCAAACTCAAATACATGTGATTCCAAATAAATGGGTAAGTCTGACAGTGTCCTGTCTGAAATAATGTAAGTGATTTAAGATTCTGTTTGTTATTTAGCTGTCAATAAAAAGCAAAAGTGCTGTTAATACTGTTGATTCATTCTGTTTCCTTTATGCACCACTTCCTTGACTGAAGTGTTTGAGTTATTTGCTGCTCATTCATAACATTAAAATGAAAATTCTTGTTAAATTTTGAAAATGGGTCACCTGTACCGTCACCCTCATACAAATTGGCACTGAATGCGAGTTGTGTGCATGTGGGGTGGAGGGAACTTATACACACTTATGCACATAAAATACTATAAAACTAACCAACAATACACATAAAATCAAAATAAAAAAAACTTGCTCATGCATTTGTTGTTTTCATGACATGCATAATTTGACATTTGCTTTATTGTAAGACACTTTGTAGCTTTGTTTTTGATAGGTGCTACACAAACACAGTTATTGTTTTTATTTTCTATGATCTAAATTCAATGCATTTGTAGCAAACCTACTGTCAAACCTGTGTCCGATGTATTAAGAGGACAATAACATTTCTTTAGTAAGTTTCTGTTTTAACAGAGACATGCTTGGCAATAGGCTTCTCCTCCCCTAGCACATGATTACTATCAACTCACAAACCTCACAATATCAGTGACATATCAAGAGCTGGTTTATCTGAAGTTCTCCTTTATTTGGAACATTTTCAGCATGTTGCAACATCACCCTAAAAAGCAGAGAACACAAACGTGACCTCTTACACCAAATGTATCATCAAGGGAAAGAATGCAATGGTACTAGAATGAAAGACAATCTGCCGGAAAATTACATTGCTAGTTGTGATTGAGAAACTTGTACAAGCAATAGAGCAATCAATTTCAAACTTCATCTTCACTTTGTGCTACAGGCACTCTGCCAGACACAGGCACACACCGACAATTAAACATCTGAGGAGCTCGCTGGAGCAACTGTCTGAGCTGAGCAAGAATATCTTCATCTACATGGAGGTAAACCAGAGGGTTCAGAGCACTGTTGAGACACACAATTCCACGAGTTATCTGATGAGCAGCAAAGGCTCCTTTATCCCACACAGGACATATACGAATACTCCTGTTTGACAAAACTCTTGAATAGAGGGTGAGGTTTTTGAGTACATGATAGGGGATGTAACACACAGAGAAGAGAAGAATCAAGATGAACAACAACTTCAAGCATCTTTGTTTCAGTACCTTGTCAATGGTATTTGTACGACAGAGAACAGCAATCACATGTCCATAGCAGCCCAGAGTGATGAGAAGTGGGATAAAAAATCCAGTGAATGTCCATCCAAGACTGTATCTCAGGTAATCCTTGACGTACTTTTCAGAGGTGGTATGATAGCACTTTCCGGTGTTGTTTTTGTATGATGTTTTGGCACAGAACATGTCTGGAAGACTCTGAACGCTCACCAACAGCCAAACCATGACTGAAATAGCCACAGAGTGGGTGACAGTTAATTTTCCCATCACTCTCATTGGATGGACAATAGCCAGGTACCTGTACACACTTATACAGGTGAGGAACCCAATGCTGCCGTACAAATTCAGGTTGAAGCTGAGCCTTGTTATCCCACAGAATGCATCTCCAAAGATCCATTTTTTCTGTTTCAAGTAGTACACTGCCAAAAATGGGAGTGCGGGCAGGAACAAAAGATTTCCAAGTCCAAGGTTGAGAACAAACACGTTAATGTTTCCCAGTTTCTTCCATTTCTGCAGCAAGGACTTCAATCCCCATCTATTAGTGGCCAGAGCAAGAAAGAATACAAAGATGTAAATACCAGGCAGTAAGCTGGTTTCATAGAACTTGTTGACACGAGGACAGTAGGTTTTATTCATTCTGTCTTTCTTAAAGAGGCCAGTACAACCAGAGTCCTTATAGCATCCTAGCTACAACCACACTCCTCTGTGGCAAAAGTGACTTGTGAAAAGCGAGAGAAAACCTTTGTATTTAAAAACAGCGTCTCATAAAGCTTCCTGTTTGAAGCTGTTGTCTCACACGTGAATTCGAGGTCAGTGGGAACCACCTCATTCTCAGATGCATTCAAGCTTTGGTTGCTTCTGCACAACTGCAGTTCTTTGTTGTTTCATTTGACAGTACTGACATATCATGGTGGAAGTAATTTAAGAGATAAAAAGAAGAAACTCTCTGCTGAATATAATGTTTGAAAATCAAATGTCCACACGACCTGTTGTTGTTCAAGAAGTTAGGAGTCCATTTTCACAAAATATAGTTTCCTACATGACAGCAGTTTTAGTACACAAAGTACAGGAGCTTAATGATATTTATGATGTTTCAGTCTGTCAGATAGTAAAGCTTTGTGACTGACAAAAATGGGCAGGTAAGAGACTCCCTCTGGTGGTAGTTAAAACATGTGAAAATATAACTGTGCATTCACAAAGCAGAATTACTCTTACATACTCAGCTGTTTTTTGAAGCAGAGTTGTAAAGGTAAAGATTTTTTTAACAGTATTGTGCAGTGCTGTTGTTGTCTTTTGGGTTTTTTTTGGTGTTTGTGAAAACAGACAGATCACCATATGTGTTTAAAGGTGTCAGTAATAGAAACATCATTGCTTCGTAAACTAAAGAACAAGCATCCTGTGTGAAACAAGTGAGTCACACAACTGCAGTGAGGTGTTACGATTAGTCACACTGAACATTAAGGAAAAAAGAAACACCAACTGCCTTGCCTTTTTTAGATTTTATTAGAAATTATTTTTTACATCATAGCGAAGTGATAGTAGTAACTGACCCAGAGAGATCTTGATGTATCTTAGTAATTGTATTTCCTCTAAATTCTCCTTTAACCTGGTGGTCATTAATATGACTTGCAACAAAAACCCAAACTGGAGACATAAAGTTAAATATAACCAGAAGGAAGGGTAACACAATCTATTCATGGTGCCACAATACTATAGATCTGTGGTTCAAACTGTGTTTACACATATTATTTTAGTTCGATTTTTTTTATGTATCAATCAACGATATTTTTATTGGACTTTCGTGACATGGAATAACCAACACTGATGACCATGTAGCCCCTATGGGATGGAATAGTGCAATAATGGTTTGTTTTTTTTATAATCTGATCTTGGCTGGCGTGTTGAAATGATTGGTAGACACCATGTATAAGATAAATTGTTTATTAACATGATTATATGACTGAATCATCACATCAAAAGAATGAGAGTGGGGTAGGTTTTGAATGCCATACACGTCATTGTTGTAACAAGGCAGGATAAGAGGAAACGAGAACAGCGGTGGTGAACAGAGATGAGTGTGACAGCCAGGTGACACTAAAAGAGTCCCTGGAGAGCTGAAGGTTTGTGTCACAGTCAGAAGGAACCTTTGTCACATAACAGCAGCAGAAGCTATGAGAACAGGGTCAGTCAATTTTCCAAACTGAGCAAAGCATTGACAACATACAATGGAGAACATGACTGCTTTATCCACCTCAAAGCTTTGAATTTTTAAATCCTGGATTCTGCAGTATTTTGGTGTAAGACACAGAACTGATGAGCTTCAGCTGTGTATTTCAATACTTCTTTTTCCATGTTAACATTTTTTGCGCCAAATCAGCGTCTGTATTACAAGCATGAAATTACTACTGAAGACAAAATATCATTATTGTTTTTAGGAAATATAAAACACAGGATGTTTAACATGTCACACTAAAACATGTTGCTCTTGTGCTAAACGTCTGTGATTTGTCTCAAAGGCACACTGTGAGAGTTTGTTCGAGGCGTCTGGCTAAACACCTCAAGAGCTCCGTGGAGCAGCTTTCTGAGCGAAGCGAGACAATCATCCATGCTATGGAGGTAAACCAGAGGGTTCAGGGCACTGTTGAGACACACAAGACCTCGACTTATCTGGTAGGCGATGTAGACTCCATTAAACCACTTTCTGCACACATTTTGTCTTTGCAAAACTCTTGCCGTGAGGTTGAGGTTCTTCAGTATGTGGTAGGGGATGTAACAAACACAGAAGAGAAGAATCATGAAGAGCAATAACTTCAAACTCCTTTGTTTCAGTACCTTGTCAATGGTATTTCTACGACAGAGAACAACGATCACATGTCCATAGCAGCCCAGAGTGATGATAAGTGGAATGAAAAATCCAGTCAGTGTCCATCCAAGACTGTAGTACAGATAATCCTCAACATAGTCTTTAGAAGTGGTGTCAAAACATTTTCTGGTGCTGTTTTTGTATTTTGTTTTGGTATAGAACATGTCTGGAAGAATCTGAACAGTCACCAACAGCCAAACCATGACTGAGATAGCCACAGAGTAAGACACAGTTAATCTTCCCATCACTTTCACTGGATGCACGATAGCCAGGTACCTGTACACACTTACACAGGTGAGGAAACCAATGCTACCGTACAAATTCAGATTGAAGCAGAATCTTGTCATCTTGCAGATCACCTGTCCAAAGATCCATTCATTTTTCACCATCAGAAACAGGAGTGTGAGCAGATACAAAATATCTGCAAGTCCAATGTTGAGAAGAAAGACATTGATGATCTTTAGTTTCGTCCAGTTGCGCAGCAGAGACTTGAGTCCCCATCCATTAGCCGCCAGACCGATGATGAACACAAAGCTGTAGATTGGAGGGAGGAATTTTCCTGGAAAAGCAAAGTTGATACGTGGACAAGAGCTGTTCTTCATTGTGTCTCTTGAAAAGCAGAAAATGATTTAAAGGAGGCAGAGTGGTAACTATGATAAACATTCCTTCCTGTTACATAGTGACTCTTCTTAGAATCTTATCAGGGTATTCGTAAATGGAAAATATACGTGTTTATGCCAACGGCAGCTAGATTGAATGATAAAGTCTGGGGGACAGTTTATCACAGCATGAATGGAATTATGGGTGCAGATTCAGTTTGAACATTTGGGGGAGGGTCTGGGTGTCCTACCCCAGGAAAATTTGAGCATCAAACTCTTCTCCTGTAACTCTGTTAATGCATCAGTTTGTGCCTTTTCTACATCAACTTATGGAGAGGAAAATACAAAATTCAGACAACAGAAGACAATTCAAATTAGAATATATTATAATGCAGTAAAGGAGTTTGCTTGTTCTCCCCATGCAGCATGGGTTCTCTCCGGGTTCTCCGGCTTCCTCCCACAAGGTCCAAAAACATGTTGAGGTTAATTGGTGATTCTAAATTGTCTGTAGGTGTGAATGTGGGTGTGCTTGGTTGTCTGTCTCTAAGTGTAGCCCTGTCACAGACTGGCGACCTGTCCAGGGTGTCCCCTGTCTGAGTCACCTGGGATAGGCTTCAGCCCCCCCGCGACCCTTGTGAGGATTAAACGGTGGATGGATGGATAATACTGTAAAGCTCTCGGGCATTCTGTGTTGCTTTTGAATCTTTGTTCTCCTGTGGATCAGTTTTTGTCATTTAACAAACATGATTTACTGTTCTGTCCTCTTTTATGTCTTTCGTTTGGGCCAGTAGCCCCTTTAAATGTGCATGTGGCATTTTTTCAATGAGAAACGAACTTATTTTGATTACTTACCCCTGTACTTGAATGGAGCTTTGCTGTATTTCAATCACATAACCAACTAGTCACAAGACCATTTTCTGCCCAGAAAATTGTATTTCAAGTATCTGTTCAAAAATGCTGGACAAATCAGTAATTCTGTCAAGCAGATAACACCTTAGATTTTAGCTCTGTTTCATTTTCAGTGTCTGAAGCTTTAAATCAAACTGAGTTACTGCCACCTGCACCTCTTTCAGGAAGAGCAAACCTCTGTCGGACTGCATTCCAAATCACATACTTGTTCTTTTTACTTTACATACACACCACAGCTGCCGTCACAACGTACAAACATGCAGTACACGTACAATTGGAACATGCTACCATGTCAAAATAATGCGGCTTAAACTTTGAGCATCGCATTCTGTAGTGTGAAAAAATGCTGCCAAAATCGGACCAGATGTCATAGAGCATTCGGGTATTTTTGGCATACTACATTTGACATATTGCATACTGTGTCAACCCAGTCTCATGGCAATTTGTGAAATAGTCACGAAATTTAATCTATTGTTTCATGTCTTGGGACACGATTTGCCCAACTTTTTTGTGTTCCCTAGCACGAATTTCAAACCAATACATTTCAATTGGAATTATCTTTCGTGTCTGGGACACTTTTTTTCCCTATTAGACAGCACATATACTGGGATGTTCTTGTCGTTCTTTTCTTCCGTCAGTCAGGCATTAACCAATTTTACTGTTATGGCCGGTCCACACTATTAACTATAGAGATCACTATAAAGATGTGTGCGCCCACACTGACCAATGTTAACATTCTGCAAACATCGGCGCTATGTATAAACTCCATATTCATTCAAATAGAAATGACAAAGTATACAAGAAAAACACAAGTGCTTTTACTGTGTTTGGGCTACATGTTCGTCGTTACTTTCATTTCTCTGTAAACGAATACAACTCTGAAAAGAAGGACACGTGCAGGAAAACGGAGACTGGAAGATGTACTGTGATCGCAGCAATGAATAATATGACTTTTGAAACTGAAAGGGCCAGTGGCGGGGAATGTATCTGTAGCTTTGTGAAGCTTTTAGCTAGGCTGGCTACATTAGCTACTAGCCTAGCCTAGCTGCTGCAGCTGCTTCTTCTTCTATTGATTTGGCAGTTGGCATCCAACCTTCAGGTGCATTACCGCCACCTACTGTACAAACAAAAACATTACAGACCCTGTAGGACAGATCTCTTCCGGGGCTGTGTCCAAAATCACTACTTCCTACTAACTATATAGTGATCACTATATAGTGCACTATATAGGGAGTACCTCCGCAAAGTAACATTACTCGAGCTATTAATTACATCGCTCGCTAGCCACGATTTGTGCCACAACAGCGTATTACAAACACATCAAATTAACAGTTTATTGTGTAGCTAAGAAATCAAATTAAGTCAAGTTTATTGTCATTTTGCTGTACATACCAGATGAGAGAGCGTTTCTTCAGGAGTAACTTAAAGCAATTTAAATAAAGTGGTGCAGTATGTCCAAATCACAAACGAGCGGCGCAATTTTAGCAACGTTCACTGTCCGGGTAAAATAAAATTTAACAAAACAAGCGGGAATTTTTCGCGCTCTCGTTCGTCCAGTTTCATTGCCTTTCGCGCAATGCATGACGGTGCATATTGCTCAGTGAGTGACCATCGGCTGTACACTACTTTTCAAGGTGCATTGTGGGATATTTTGAGTGCACTATATAGGGTGTAACATATGTAACTTAGCATTTGGACACCCCTACAAAATGGCATGCACCCTATATAGTGCACTATAGAGGGCATAGGGAGTGATTTCGGACACAGCCCGGGTCTACAGTGAGGCTGCACGGGTTGCCTTAGCAACGAGCACAAATTTCCCCCAAACACTGCCGGTGCAATATAAACACAGAAAATACCACAACATGATGTACTCTTTTACACTTATTTCATACTACATGTATTATAATTTAACAGTAGCACATTTGTCAGTACTTCAATCCGTTTATTTTAGTTTATTAATACAAAAACACAACCCTAGTTGTAAACTCCAAGAAGAACTACATATTTCATGGTGTGTTGAATCACGTTGTATTGTAATGGTACTGGAAGTTGTAGCTTTTTCTTCAAAATAGCTGTTTCTCCTAAATGGTCGGTGAAATATAAAACTTTAAGTGCATTTAGGGGTTTAAATTGATGAGGAACATGTTTATTTGGACTGCCTACAAAAGAAATTGATACTTACATAAGTGAAATACAATTTTTACCACATTTTGTGATGCCCCCTGCTGGTGAAAACATCAAGACAAGGTCTACATGATAGTAGAAGTCAAGAGCTTTGTATAACAGTTGGTCCCATGATTCTAGCCTCTTTCCTTGTTGAATTAGAAGCTTTTAAAGATGCACCAAAGTCAAAGTTTAAAGGTCAATATCTCTGAGCAAGAGCAACTTCAAACTTCCAGACTGACATAATCTTACTCACCTGATCAAATCCTTTCCAATGATGTAACATGTTTAGTCTATGACAAAGTTTTTGTTGTCATTTTTGTTTCAGAGCATCACTTGTTCAGCATCAAACATTCTGAAGTAAATGGTTAAATCTGAAGTCGCATCCTATCAGAAATAATTGGATTTCAGCAAGATTTCCGCTCATGATTAAAGCTTCCATTACTTTCAAAACACATCACATGTATCCGTGTTTGATATGCTGAAGAAATAGACTCACGTCAGTTGGAGATGTTGTTGCATAAATGAGTAAACACTTAAGTATTTTTCTACATGAAGCCCTTACTTTTTCTTCTTGTTTTCATTTGTAGAGGACTATGCACATGTTTAATGTTGAGGGGGACGCATACCCTGTATCCTGCCTGACATCTACACCTATGCATGTGGTCAACCCTATTGTAGATCTGAGGCATCTTTACACTATGTGATTTTGGGTTGCCTCAGATATAAGTTTGCAGGTACGATACAGACTGGAAGCAGTGGACTCACTGACAGGGTTTCATTTTCATTGCTCAGACAGATTAGTGTGTTAGGCATTCGAGGATTTATTTCATTGTTTTACTGTTTATTGTTTGTTTGTGTATCATGTATCTGTTTTATGTAGCTTTTGATTTTGTACAGCTGCTACCTTGGCCAGGTCTCCCTTGTAAAAGAGACTTCTAATCTCAGTGGGACTTCCTGGTTAAATAACGAGAAATATATAAATTTTTCTGCAATTTTTTTGAGAGGCACCTGCCTGCAGCCCTCCACGGTCAAGCCTGCGCCGGAACTGACTTGACCATGGTGCCTCTCATCAGACCTGCTGATGTGAACACACCAGTGGAAGGGGTACGCTTTTTTCACAGCATATATTGGTTGGATACTGTTGGTGCAGCATTATGGTACAGAAAGACAATATTTTTTTTTTGTCTTTTCTATAGGACTCGGTTGACGTGCGTATTCTGCATGATTCCAAATGTGCAGCAGAGTGGGTTGAGGCCAATCAGAAACTCTTCTCTGCTGTAGTGGACCTGCCTGATGGTCTGTGCATGGAGGAGGAGTAACAGGCTGAGGCTGCTCTGCAGTATAGGAGAGTCTGGGAGGAGAAAATGGAAAAGAAAGAAAAGGAAGCAATACCGGATGTATTCAAATTTACATTCCACAATATTGATGACGTGTTGAAATTCTGTGAGATCATAGTTGATCAAAAAATTTGGGGCATGTTGTCAATGTCACACTGATGAATAAATAAAAGTAACAGTACATTTGATAATGTTGTGACTTTCATTTGCGTTTGTTTAATTTGTTTATTATTTTGGTATTAATTTATGTGGTACCTTACATATTGTTTCATTAATTATTTAGTTAGATATTTTGTTCTGCTCTATGTCCCAAATGTGGGTTCCTACCTTCTGTTGTTTTGGTCCAGCGCTTAAAATTGTGGACGGGGTGAAGGGTCAGAGTGGAATGTCGATCTGAAGCTGCCAATAAAGCTGTTGAACTGTCCTGCTGTTTTTGTGATTTATTAGCACAGAAGATAGCAAAACATAACGTGAACATAAAGTAATTGTAGCCCGCCTAAACCACCGCCTGGAGACGGTTGAACCACACAACTTTTCAGGGTTAAACAGACATGATCATGAGGCACCAGGAACACAAAAGGTGTTAACATTATTGCAACTGTGCATGTCAGAAAGTACTCAATTGCTCTTTGCTTGTGGCATTTCAGCTTCCTCTGCTGTGCGCCTGATGTTTGTCGCAGCAGTCAGGAAACCTCATACCATTTGCATCCTGTTTATCTACACGCATTCACACCACCAACTTCTCCTTTTACAACAATCCAGGCTACACCTAGCATTTAGCATCTCAGCCATAAACACAACACATGGTCCTTCAGTTTTTGGTTCAAGTACATTGCTTTAAGATGAGCTTTTTTTTTTTTTTTTTGAGAATGCCAGCAATATGACAAGCATAGATCCAAATCTTGAACCAGTCCAGTAAATGTGCCGCAGTCTCAGATAAAGAAAGGTGTGTAAAGAAAGTGTTCCATTTCAATCACACATTTTAAATTGACGCCAGAGGATCTTGACTAGACAGCCTTGTGAAAGCCTGGCGAGCTCGCTGGGGAAGCTGTCTGAGCTGAGTACAAATACCTTCATTTACATTGAGGTAAACCAGAGGGTTCAGAGCACTGTTGAGACACACAAGGCCACGACATATCTGATGAGCGATGAAGACTCCATTAAACCATTTCTGGCATATACGCTGTTTGGACAGAACTCTTGACCAGAGGTTGAGATTCTTAAGTACATGAAAGGGGATGTAACAAACAGAGAAGAGAAGAATCAAGATGAACAACAACACCAAACATCTTTGTTTCAGTACCTTGTCAATGGTATTTGTACGACAGAGAACAGCAATCACATGTCCATAGCAGCCCAGGGTGATGAGAAATGGGATACAAAATCCAGTGAATGTCCATCCAAGACTGTAGTTCAGATAATCCTCAACATAGTCTTTAGAGGTGGTGTCAAAACAATCCATGGTGTTGTTTTTGTATGTTGTTTTGGGGTAGAACATGTCTGGAAGAATCTGAACAGTCACCAACAGCCAAACCATGACTGAAATAGCCACAGAGTGGGTGACAGTTATTTTTCCCATCACTCTCATTGTATGGACAATAGCCAGGTACCTGTACACACTTATGCAGGTGAGGAACCCAATGCTGCCGTACAAATTCAGGTTGAAGCAGAATCTTGTCATCTTGCAGAACTCCTCTCCAAAGATCCATTCATTTTTCCTGTAGTACACCATCAGAAACGGGAGTGTGAGCAGATACAAAATATCTGCAAGTCCAAGGTTGAGAACAAAGACATTGACAATCCCCAGTTTCTTCCAGTTGTGCATCAGAGACTTCAGTCCCAGTCCATTAGCCACCACACCGATGATGAACACTGTGATGAGGACTGGAGGCAGGTATTTGCTTTTAAAGTCAAAGTTGATGTCTAGACAAGAGCTGTTCTTCATTCTGTCTGTTAAAAGGCAGAAAATTGGTATTCTGCTGTCTTCTGGGAAGGAGTCAGTCAGATTCGCTCCTCTGGGTGCTGGTGTTCTTCGGAACAGAAAAAACTAAAAAGAAAAACTATATCACACAGGATTTAAAGACTTCCTCTTTTACGTCTATCGGCTGCATTTGATTTTATGCACCTTCAGTTATCCAGGAAATCACATGCATTCATTTGACCTTTATTTAAACTTAAACAAAGAAGGTCTCATTTACACTGTAGGCAAATAGAAAAATTAAAGTTGTAGCAACACAAATAAGACACTTGGGAAACAACAAAATATTCATATTAAATTTTATATACAAACTAATCAAGTACAAGAAGAGCAACTGGAACAAAAACTAAATTAAACACCATAATTAATGTAAGGATAAAAATAAGTCCAGCTTTTCACTGTTATGCCCTTTAATTCGCATAGCTGATGCACATTGAGTAAAGACATAGTGACAACAAGTCACAGACTCTGACAATACCTTTTTGTGACGGTGACAATTTGAGAAGTGGAAACTGAAATTAGCCCTATAGCCTAAGCCTCTTGCACAACTCCAAATCTGGAGAATAAAACAAATCTATATTTTGTTTTATTTCATGGCTATTATATGTCCATGCCATGTAGCCACCAGAAGTTCTTAAATACAGGCAGGAATGCAGGGTAAATATGATTTTATACACAATCAGTTGCCCTTATAGCTAATTAATCATTGTGTAGATAGATTCTTGGAATACATAAAGGAAATTTAAAATCTCTTGAATTAAAATGAAATGTTTAGACTTTATGAATAGCTTGTGTACTTTGTGCATTTTGTACTCTGTGGCTAACAGAATGAATAAACGTGACCATAGCAGTGTTAGATTTCTGCTGTTGTATATAGGTGATAGGTGTTGCCTGAGGGAAGTTTACCACATCCTGTCGTGAAATGATTTCTTTGCGGAAGAATTAGCACATGCTGTTTCTCTGACACTAAATTTTACCCGAGCTGCACTTTGCCTTCTATTACAATAAAATCTATGGAATTTTGTCTTTCTCAACAAATGCTGTCATATTGTTGGCTTTATTTGTACTTGTCAAATCATTTAGTAAATTGTATATACCAGTGACAAGACATTACTAATAGCCTAATTGTGTTTTCTTTTTAGACACTAACAAAGTAACTTCTGCCTCTGTTATGTTATTTCCAATCAAAATCAAATCAAGTTTATTGTCATTCAGGACCATTTAATTAGTAAGTTTTGTGGAATGAACGTCTGGGATAGACAAGACACTAAATGTTCACTCTTGCTGTTTCCTGAAGGCTGCTGCTGCGTCCATACCATAATAATCCACACTGTCATTAAAATGATTTAACAGCATTAATAAAAAAAAAAAATTGTTTGGTCTCCTAAGACTCAGCTAAGTCATGCAGTGAGATGCTGCTGAGTTCACAAATAATACCACAGGGCTTTTTAAAAGTCTAAGATTGTGCTCATCCATCAGCTGTATCTGCTTTATCCTGAAGGGGGAAACAGCATTGGGGTAAGAGGGAGGATACACACTGTACAAATCTCCACATTCATATCAACAGCCAATTAAGAATCAATAATTTACCTACCATGCAGGTCTATGGTCTATGGGAGGAAGTTGGAGTACCCATAAAGGTCTAAGGAAAACATGCAAAACACACACAGAAAGCTGCAGCAGATTTAAAAACAACTACCTGCTTCCGGAAAATGAACGTTCAGCCCACTAGATGTCAGGATGTGAAAAGTTGTGTGATCTGAGTGGAAAAACCCCTCAGAGGCACGTGTCTGTAGAAGTGAAGAACTCTGACGTAGAAGCCAGTAATACTGAGACTAGTCATTAGATAAAATGAGTAACTCAGTGGTGTCAATGTGTATTTCTCTGTGCTTCAAACATGTTTCCAACAGCTCATCAGCAAGAAGATGTTTAGTGGGAACAATTAGTCATCAGTGCTGAAGTGAAATGTTGGGAAAAAGGTACATATGTACAAAAGATCTATTTAATCTGTGAGTACTGCAGTATGAAAAAAAATATCAATCACAAATGCAAAATTCTCTGGGAGTAAGAATGCAGGACATATATAAAATATTCAAATATTTTTCACTATACATAAGACACATCTGACCAGAAATATTTACAACAAAACACCAAGTGAAGAAATAAGTGCAATGTCATCCGACTACATACACAACAACAAAACTGTACAACTTAAAAACTCATTGCTCATATCAGAGAACAAAATCTGTCAACACAAAGGTCGGAGTCATTTTGTTGGATACAATTCTATCACCAATATGGACATAGGTTTAAAGTCAGCAACCTAAATAAGTCTTCAAAACTATCTTCTATCCACTGAGGTCCAGTGTTCTCAATTTATAGTTTAGGTTTAAAAATTAAAACTGTACTCTTGTTATTGGTCCAGACAGAGTTATGCAGAATTGCTTGTCATAAAGTCCAAGTGTTAGACAAACAAACTTCTCATCCCAACCAAAACTGTGAGCTCCATATGACCAGTTCAGCTTTTTACAGCTAAGATGCTCTGCACGAATTGACTAAAAATTTGGGGAAATTGATTCTTTTATTGCATGATGCCTCAAGGTGATTTTAAAATGTCACTTTTGACAGCATTGCATGCTCACGTACTCTGTACTCAAAGAAGGTTGTTGTTCTGTCTGAACTCTGGAGGAAACAAAGTCTTTGAGAAACCAAGTCAGTGCACATCTTTAAAAAGTCCCATAACTTGTGGGTTATACAGTTCCAGACAGGTGACAAATTAAAGGAAAAACCTGAACCGCTGACCCCAACAATGAGGGAGTCTGGTTTCTCTGTGAGGCTGTGAAGGGCATTTTTCTGGCATGATTTGGTTCCATTTCATCTTAGAGGGAAGTTTCATTGTAAATCACTACAAATGTATTTATGCTCTGATGAAACATTTCTATTCTGATAAGAGTGGTCTCACCCAGGATGACAAAGCCCCTGTCTACAGGGCACAAAGGGGTGAGTGTTGTTTAAGGAAAATGATGTGAATCCCATGCTGTGGCCTTCACAGTCACCAGATCGTAACCTAAAGAAACACCCATGGGACATATTTGGGATGCACACAGTGGTTCAGCACTTTACAAAGACAATTTGTGTTGGTTTTTCAGTTTGTCACCTGTCTGTATATCCCCTGCATATCCTGTATTTCAGCTATTTTCTTATAAAGCATTTTTTAACCTTTGAAAATAAAGTCTGCTTGTTTGATTTGCCAACTAATTTCAATCTCTGAATGTGGTTAAAGACCTGCAGATCAATGCTTTACAAGGTGCAGAACTATATAGGAGTTGTGAATAAGTGCACACAGAGTTTGTCCACGTGTGAAGATTAACGTTCATCCCAGCAGAGTCACAGTTCTCATAATGATCATTTTCTCTTTCAAGGTCCATCCTTAGTCGATCCACATGGGGATCCTTCAGGTTTCTCTCACTGAAGTCTTTTAGTTCTCAGCACTGACGCAGACCGATCAGGGCCTGAGTCCCCACAGAGCAGGGTTAGTGTATGGTGCGTAGGGGCAATTGCTGTGACAGACGCACGAGTGAATCATCATCACAGCTCGCTGCAGCAGCCTGCCGGTGGGGCAGCGGAAGGTCACCTCGGCAGTGGTGGTCTGGTATGGCGTACAGCACCGAGAGTCACTGCACTGCCCACAGTACCGGAGCTTGTAGGCTCGAGTGCTGTAGCAGCCCTGGTGAATGAGCCGGATGGGCCCCGGTGACATGTAGCTCGCCTTGCAGCGTCCCTGCTGTCCCCACTGTGAAAACAGTATACAGAGGACATGAGAAGAGATAAACCCAGTTAGCTATATAGAGATGTAATAAGGAGGAAGATTTCTAGATGTCAGGTTTTAATGTGGCTACTTTACTGTAGCAGATCCCAACACATACTGAAACATACCGATGGGTCCAGTGTATTTTACAAATCTGAAAATATACACACATTTAGTCCAGTTATAACCCTGATGCCGATATGTCTTTGACCTGCATATCAATGTTTTACTGGGAAAATATTCTCGAGAGCAAAGTTTTAATCATTTAACCTGCTGCCAGTCAAGAAAATCAGTTCTATCTGGTTCTGCAAAACCATCTTAAAATGTTTTAAAAATTCTTGCTTTCTGCAATATGTGCTCATGACGGCTATGATTTGGCTAAGCTTAGCGAAAGGTAGTGATTATGGCAAATTAAAGATAGTCAGTGCATGGTTAGGGTTAGGCAACAAAAACTGCAGGGTAAGGTTTGGGAAAGGTCTTGGTTAGTGTAAATTAAAGCGCACACGCTAATTGCAGGTCTATGAAGTAAGACATTTGCTATTTTGTGCACAATCACCCAATAATCGTTGCTGTAGTTAGTAGCAAGAGCACCAGACGTAACAATAAAAGTCTTTGCACTTGCCATTTTTATTGGCATTCAGCAGTTTAATTTTAGAGTCAGTCTACAGCAGCTCTGCCTCTGAGTAATGTTTGTACTCATTTGAATGACTGAAGTTAATTTTGTTGCAGTAATTGTGTGTGTTAAAAGGTCTGTAGACCACAGACACAAAAACTCGAGGGAAGGTTTTCTCTCCTCATTGTGTTGTCTGACCACTCAGTTTGTTGTCAGGTATTGTATTGTCTTGTATTGTCTTGTATTGACAATCATAGTCTATCAAATGAAACCACTTTCTGTGGTGTGGCTGAACTGTCATCTTCCACTCATGACAGAAGCACAGTAGAATATACTGTATGTACATCCATCCATTATCTATACACCGCTTAATCCTCACTAGGGTCGCGGGGGGGCTGGAGCCTATCCCAGCTGACTTAGGGCGAAGGCAGGGGACACCCTAGACAGGTCATCAGTCCATCACAGGGCCACACTTAGAGACAACCAAGCACACTCACATTCACACCTACGGACAATTTAGAATCACCAATTAACCTCAACATGTTTTTGGACTGTGTGGGAGGAAGCCGGAGAACCCGGAGAGAACCCACGCTGCACGGGGAGAACATGCAAACTCCACGCAGAAAGATTCCGGTGCCCCCACCAGGACGCGAACTGGCAACCTTCTTGCTGCAAGGCAACAGTGCTACCAACTGCACCACCTTGCAGCCCTACTGTATGTACACTGTAAGAAAATATTTTTTTTTTAAAAACAGCACACACACACATGCACAAAAACACCCTAAAAATCTGGAAGCAAAGAGTGCCAGAAAAAAATATGTTAAAAATGGTGGAGTATTGTAATATCAAAAACTTTTAAGAAGGTGAAGACAAATGTTTTGTAAAATAATATTTGGAGCTAATTTAAATACAGTAAAACAGTAATTTTACAGTCACACACTACATAGGAATGATTTACTATTCATAAATACACAAATCTTTGATGCTAACATTATGTACAGTTTTAGCCTGTTTAGTTTTTTTCTCCTTAGTTTTTTGTAGCCAACATTTAAAACTATACTTTTGAAATGATTTTATTTGATATTATCTTAACAAAACAGGGGAAATCTGTAAAACAACTTTCAAACTGGACAAAAATTACAGCTAAAAATTGCAGAAGAAACTTTCCCTTTTACTGTGTAGAGGTGAAACTTAGCAGGATGTGGACAGCAGTAATAAGCTTTCAGGTTGCTGTTGGAGCTCACCGTGGGTTTCCTGGGTGCAGACTGAACAGAGTGGCAAGGTCGCACTTTGCAAAGTCGAGTTTCCATTTGCAGCTTGCAGGCAGGGTTCTGGTTGGAAACGCGTGTGGAGACCCCAGCCCCACAGCTCTGGGAACAGGCGCTCCATTTGGTGCTCTGCTCCACACAGGTGGAGGCGGGTTGGACCTGTCGGTTTAGGGGGTGATCCCTTGGCAGGGATGGCCACAACCGGTCTGGTCTCATGGCTGGAGCAAAACCAGACAAAACAATGGTTGGAGTAAGACAGAAATTCCAACTGTATCAGCAGTTTATGTTGCATCACAGAGGCATGAGGTGATTCCAAGCTTGATGTCATGTGGTCATTTGATATTAAAGGTCCCATACGATGAAAATAATTTTCTGTGTCTTGTGGTTATTGTAAACTTGGAGGTGTAAAATAAAAGCTGTTAAGAAATAAAGACATTTACTTGTGCCATTCCACAAGCCCCAGCACAACCAGTTAGCCTCCCAGCTTTACAAGCCAGAAAGACTTCACACTAACTAACCAACAGTCATCCACTGTAAACTGTGATTGAAAACAGTTCACAGTTCACAGTTTCTACATACACGAGAAAATGTTTTAAATTTTAAGGTAACCACAGTTACTGTTAATGTTCATTACAGTGGCAACACTATGTAAATACAGTGTATCATCCTAAAGTTTAATTACAGTGTTAAACAGAGAACCTCATATTCTACTGAAGAGTGCTGTCATCTATTATACAGAAATTAACTGTTTAAGTAAAGTACAGTTGTAACATTGCAGAAATACAGTAAAATACCGGTGACGGCAGCAGCAACTAGGGGGATTTTGCAGTGTATCGAAGTGGGAGCAATCAAAACATTTAAACATTGAGGAAAGTTACTGCAGTGTTTTCCTACTCATCTCATTTACCATAAAATTACCTTGTCCATGCTTTATGAAAGGAAAGGAGATTTTTGCGTCCCACAATTCCTTGTGGCAGCAAATGTCAAAGTGACACACCATCCACATCTATGTCAACAGCATCAACCAGCTAATGATTATACAGCCTTTTGTAAGTTCCATCAGATTCTCTGAACACCAAAGTTGTCTTTTCTTTTGTATTTATGAATACCCATAGAGTGTAATTTTTCTGACTATTTAACCATGATATCTGATTTTCCATGTACTCTAGAACATCAACATGCACCTGTGCCTTTCACCTCACCAATATTTTTATCTTATGTCCACCAAGTCCTCCAGGCTAAACAACATTCATCCCTGTGGGTGAATAGTTTTCTCCATCTTTTCTCTGAACTAAATTAGATGCTGCACCAGCTCACTCACCTTCCTCACTTCCAGTAACCCTAATGTCTCACCTGGTTGGTATTTGCTCACAAAAAAATTAAAACTCCCAAAATCCATAACACTGAATTTTAACTCCCGAAACTAATATGCAGAAGTCATATCAGCTGATCTGCAAGCATGTCTAATTTGACAGATGCTTACAGTTACACCTTTTATACTTGTAGCTTTAAGGTAGGTTTGTTTTATCTCTTAAAACTATTATTTGTTTGTATTTTTCATGCCTGTATCTCTGTAACGTCAACAGAGTTTTATTTTCCTTAGTTTCTGACATTGTGTTGTGGTTGTGGCAATTGGACACTGACTATGGCAATTCCTTTTTTTGGACTTATAAAATCACTGTTCAATCATTTACTCAATGACAACTGTACACTTGGTTTACATTACATGTGTTTGGCTCATGTCTTTGTCCATTTTATCTCTGATGAAGACACAGTAGTGTTGGTCTGTTCGCACAATTTAAGGTTGTGCATTAAGCAGTGTGTTCCATCTCTTTCATTCGCTTATTTGCTTTTTGCTCACAAAATTCTCCATTTATTACTCTGGATTTCGTGCATGTTGAAGTTCAAAGCAAATTTTCCTCCCAAAACCAACATGCAAAAGTCATGACACTTAGCTGATTGTCAAGCATGACATCGTAGGTTTTGAATTCAAGAACAAAATGTTCCTTTTCTGTTCTCATAACGTAGTTTGACTCAGACCGTGTTTGGAATTCCAGATGTTTTTAGACTGGCTTCATTTCCCTAACAGCCGTCTCATGCTCAGACACACTCACACACCCCTGTTAATGGAGTAATACCGTCACATGGCTTCAAATGTTTAATTGTCTCGCAGCTGTGGTTGTTATGAAAGATGGTGACTGAAAAAAAAATGTTTTGAGCAAAAAAAATGTGGCTTATATTTGGACTTTGGGAGTTTTCCTTTGGCAAGACACACCCTGGTTTAATGCAAAAAAGCTCCAGTAAAAACTTCCAGACATGACCACCAGTGACAAAGCTCATAAAAATGAATGAAGGATTATGTTACATATGGACTGATCATCACCGAGCAACAACTGAAGCTGAGGAATCCAGCCGTGGACACACATCTGGCACTGGCACCCAGACACTGGAAAATATGTTGGAAATATCCAGCTCTGATGTCAGGGGTGAAATTTAAAGGACTAGTTAAACATTTTGGGAGGTACGCTTGTTTGCTTTCTTGGGAAGTGTTTAGGTTTGTTCACTAAATATGAAGCTACATCCAGGAAACAGCTCAGCTCAGCTCAGCTTAGCATAATGAATGGCAAAGGAGGGGAAATCCTATCTTGGTTCGGTCTAATAGTAACAAACTCTCCTTCCAGGACCTCTAAAGCTCCTCATTAACACATTTCACTTGTTTAATCCTTAACAAAAAGGAAATGCCAGGCTTTGTTCCCTCTGGATCCAGCCAGACTGGCTGTTTCCCCTTGTTTCCAGACTATGTGTCAAGCTAAGCAGCTGCCAGACTGCAGCTTCATATATAATGTACACAAAACATTCTTCCTGGTTCTAACAAACAACATCACGTCACCGAAAACCTGGCTTCCCTTCAGTGGCTCCTTGTTTATTTTAGAACTGATTAACAATTGTCAGGGTCCGACCCCAAGCTATAGAACAGAGATGCTGATCCCATATGAGCCTGTTTGGAGCCTTAAATCCTTCTGACTGATCCAAAGTCAAGACCTGGAATCTAAGGGTTTGGAACGACCTACATGAGGAGACAAGGCTCAACGTCTTCTTTTGAATCTTAAAACCATTTTTATAGACACGGTTTTATGTGATGTTGTCTCTTTTATTCAATTTTTTTCTTTTATTCTGATTAATCTTGTACTTCTGCTCCTGTGTAACTGCAATGTTTCTTCTCCTTTGATGGGATATAGCATTTGTTGGTGCTTTTATGAAGGTATTTGCATCAGTTATTAATATTGACATTTTATATTTTTAACTGTGTTTACTTCTGTTTCTCCAGCTATTACTTCTCAGGTCTTTTTCTCTTTCTGTTTGGCCTGACTGACTTTCTGTTGTAATATTGTCTACCTGGGTATTACATTTGCCTCAATCTTCTCATCCAATTCCAGAAAGCAGTTATTTTCTAAATGTCTACCTGCTCCTGTCAAGTGTATCACAAACCTTCTGCAAAGAAATCTACTTTAGAACACAACCTGCATCAGAACACGTTTGATGATGAACTCACCCGTAATGGCGTCCTGAATGACTGTGTTATCAAGGTTTTCACACACCCACTCCCGGCAGCACTTCCCTGGCAGCCGGATGTGCTGTGGGTTGGGACAGTCTGGAGTGGGAAGACGCACATTCAGGGGACAGGCTGGCACACAGCTCACCCCTCCACCTCTGCAGTGGCAGTAGGTGTCACAGGAGGGCTGGAACGACTGGCCCTCTTGGTAAGTGATGCCATTGACTTCACAGCCCAGATCCTCCCGACCTACCAGAAACACAGCACAGAAGACGTCTTTGCATGGCCACACCTGCAGCCTGGATTGATGTGGGAAACTTAATCAGGAAGCGAAACGATTAGGTTAGGTGAAAATGAGAGAGAGAGGTGAGGACACTAGACCTGCTGTCCCTGCCACTGGTTATGTAGCTCTATGGGAAAGCAGGCCTCTGCTGAGAAACTGAGTCGTCTGTTTTTCAATCCACGAGGGTTGTCTCTGCAATCTATCATGCTCAGAGGGCAGTCATTAGAGGAAATGTGTCAACAGCAACCCTGGAAATAGAAGTTTTGGAGTCTGGGCAAATCGCCGCCACCCGGCAGGCCGTCCCACTCGGCTGAGCAGACTCTAAACATAACCTGTCTGTGTGTCACACAAACCAAGACTCTGCCCCCCTCCCTGCATGTCCTTCCCTCTGTCTCACCCACACAGACATGGACCCTGTTGTTTGCTTTTTAGAAGAGGCACTTACCGACACACTCCCCAGGGTCTCCGGGGAAGCTGGCGCTGTAGTCGCACTGCAGTCCTCTCTGGCTGTCGCAGGGGAGCATCTCAGTGCAGGGCTCGCCTCGCTGCCGGGCACACACCTGGCAGCACTGGCAGCCATCCAGCACCAGGGGGACTCCTGTTGGGCATTGAGGGGCAGGACCAGGGCAGAAGCAGGGTCTGTCACACAGCTGACACAGCACCTGGAGGGAGACACACGGGAACAAGGGAGATGATAAAGCATGAAGAGAACAAAAGGTGAAAACGTGATTTCACCTTCTGGTACTGAAAACATCGCTGTTGTTATCAAGACCCAAAGCCTCATCATTATTGAAATGATTACTCTCATTACTACACTTTTATAGAAGAAGGAGTAAAGCAAATATTGTTGGTATTCCCAGAAGCTGCATCAGTATTCATCACAGTCAGGCCAAACCCCTGTTTCCAATTACATGTACGTGATGGAGCCAAAATGCAGGCGAGATGTGGACAAGCCCAGTCTCACTTTAACAAAGCAGAACAATCCCTTTAGTGCTTTTTAACTAACACTGTAAACCAATTATCTTCACACAGTGCCTAACAAGGTAACACATAACTGCATAAAAATGCAATTCCCTTCTATTAATCAATCTTAAACCACAAAAGCAACACAATAACACAAATCATACAATCTGTTGCCATGAATCAGTATTCTTATCTTTTGTACTGAAATGATGAGATTCTCACAAAAGAGGATCAAATTATCAGCTTTACGTTGTAAGGTGTCATCATAAATAGACTACTTATAGGTTTTGGGGCTATAGGTCAAGTAAATGAGATTTCATTGTCATTTCTGACACTGATTAAATTAAATCACTTCATAATTGTTAAAATAATCGGCTGTGCTCATCTCATCATATTTGCATGTCTTGCTTTAATTGTTCTAATTAGTGTAGCAGTCATAGGAAATTGTTGTATTTCTTCCAAGACACATAACTGAATATAAATACACTAAATGGACTAATTATGGATGAATGGACATTTTCTGCAATGGTATTTATTCATCGAATAATACTAAAGTGACAAAAATCCTTGCACACTTACAATCAACACTTTCTCATGACTACATAACCATCTCATTCAGAACAGACTGCTATAAAAAAAGAAATATGTAAAGAATCAGGAGCAGGCCTCACCTGTGTAGCCACACACATCAGTATAGCCAAAGCAATCACACAGTCACATAGAAGTCGGTCCATGAGGGCTCGTGTTGCTGATGGAGCTCAGTCTGTCTCACTGACCTGTGTGACGGTGTGGTGCGACTGGAGCAGCTGTTTGCTAACTGCTCATTCTTGCGCCTGCTGACATTTATAAAGTCTGGACTCTGATGTCACGAGCTGACTACCGTGTAAACAGCCACTGGACCGGCATCAAAAATGTTTCACATTCCTCCTCCCTGCTGCCCATTTCCACTTCCAAACACATACACCTCCACCCCCAGCTCTTTCCCCTCTTTTTCCTCTCCTCCCACTCTTTCCAGTCTTGTGGCGTTCTAAGTTTGCACAGCTTAACATCAGCTAAGGGGAGAAAAATACATTAGCCAAGTCGTCTGCAAGTCAAACAACCTGCAGTGCTTCTACCGCAACAATTCAAATTTATGTAGACGTGATTCTATCTAGCCGATGTTTTCACAAGCTGCTGGTGAGTCAGATATAGCTGCTCACCATTTGAAAGGATGGAAATAGACCATATATTTCCACTACTCAATTTGTCATCCCAAAGTGCCCAAATACTTATGAAACCTAAATGTGTTGGGGCCAGACATAAAAGAAATGCAATCCCTTTCTTTCCTCTGGTTTCCATGGTATAAACTATGTCTGACGCTGGCATGAACCCTGAATCATCGTGATCTCTTCCATTGTGTAAGAAGCCTGAGGAGACTTTAAATAGGAACCTAGAAGAAAACAGGAGAAATCTTTTGTGAGATGCAACATAGCTGAGCTCCTTCATTAATAAATAACTACAGCAGGATTAGACTGACTCAACTCTGTATACATATACATATTGCCATTTCGTTAAACAATTCATGTGTTGACCACAAGGCTGTACTTCATGGATATATTAAGGACAACTGGATATAGGATTACAATTGTTGTATGTTTTAATACTATAATAATACTGCAACAAAATTTTGTGCCTAATTGTGTTATGTCTAGTGTTACATGTGGGGTCTGGACTATGATTGTAGCTGCTGTGACAAAGTAATTTCCTGTAACGGATCAATAAAGTATCTTATCTTGTCTATCTATACCAAATAAAAGATGACACCTGCTCACTTGAAGGACAGTAGCTCACCTGACTGATGCTGTTTGCTTTATTGCATTAGTATCTTCTTTGCTGGCCCCACCCACATCTTTTCCAGCCAATAGGGAGGTTTTACTGATATGAAACCACAGTCAAATAAAAATTCATAACAGAAGCAATAAAAACTAAGCTGGAGGTGTTCTGTCATCATTTTTTAAAAACCGTTTCTTCTATAATTATGGTTTAAGAATGCTTTTTGGGCCCAAGGGTATTTTTTATTGTAATACTGTGAGTAATAACTGAATAGAATAGCAGTGCTGTATCTAGCTCAGTTAATATATCAGTTCTGCACTTAAAAATCTGTCTCCATTCATTGATTTAAAAAAAAAAAAAGAATCTTCATGTATTAAAATGACATATTTGTATGTTTTTTCAATAAAAATAATCCCTTCCTGTCTGTCCCCTCACCCATCTCTTCTTAGTCGCTGCAGCTCTAGTTTACCAGCTCACTTACAACCAACAGCAAGTTGTATTATTGGAGTAATTCAACCATACCTGTTCAAACTTCAGACTGATTTTGAAGACGATTGATGATATGGAAAGCCCTGCCCTAACTGACTCCTTAGATTTGTTATATATAAAACCCCAGAACACTAAATCCATGTTTCGGAGACTATCATTGGTAGCTGTAGTTTCAAGATGGAAATGTGGAAACGTGTACAGACGATAACAGACACAATAGATGTAATGCCTTATTTTTTTAAGTTTATGCCTTTTAGACAGATTCTTTTACATCAAGAATCTCCATAATGCTGGAAAAGGGCAGATACTTTGCTCTGCCTTTGGATAAACTTCAGAGAATGCAAGAGGAACATGTGACACACTAAATCTTTCTAGTTTCTTGTCCATTTTTAGCATTTTTTTTTGTTGCAAAACATAAAGTTCTTGGATTATTTATAGCCTCTATTGGATACATGTTTATGTATAAGTTTTCCTAGGTCTATCTTTAATTAATATTTATACAAAAATCAATTATTTTAACCAGCTGCCACCTTAAAGCACAGCTCTGCTTTGATCGAATGCTAGTGCCAGTATGTTAACATAACACTGCCAGTGCAAACATGCTAATATTAGGCATCTTAGCATGCTAAAGTGTGCAGATGATCTCAAAAAGTGCAACTGAGGCTGACGGAAATGACAGTTTGGTAGTGTCTGGTCATAAACCAGAGTATTAGAAAACTGTTGACCTGATGATGGCTAATAAACGTCAGGGGGTCACAGAGTTACTACAGTTCCCCCTCAGGAAAGGCACGAACCGAGTCAACCTACAGACCAACGCCACTGTTTATAGAACCACATCAAGAGTGTGGATGAAAACTTTACATTTTAGAAGCTTGCATTGTAGAAATATTTATATCCCTGTTACAGATATAAAATGTTCCAGATTATACTGTCATAGCCACAGCAGGACTCAAACTAAACACTACAGCAAAAAGATTGGAGCCTGTTACTGAAAAAGAAAGTGAGCCTTTCGTTATAAAAAGAATTCAGTCGAAGGTAACGCTAGATTCCTGAATGTCAACATCAGCCATTTCTTACAGATCTGGGTGGCCCAGAAAGACATCCAGCGTTGAGTTATAAATAGAAGTAGATGGAAAGAAAGATAGAGCAGAGGGAAGTATGTGTGTTCCAGGCAGGTGGACTCCAGGTGGTAAGTCGGTATGGATGTACTGCTTCAACTTTTCTCTGAAAACAATGCTTTCCTGGCCACTACCATGTGTTTACCATGCTCTCTGAGAATGACAGGCTGGAAGGACTGCGTTATAATAGGTAATCGTTTCACTAGTTGTCAGGATCAACTTTCAAAGAACTCCAATAAAATGACTGGTTTTCATCAAAGAACTGTGAGCATGACTCAGTAATAAGGCATTATCGTGGCTTGCAGGAAACTTTGAGTTTCTGGCTCATTAATGAAACTGAAAATATGGCTATTAGATGATCAGTTGGCTTCATTATGCTTGACCTATGACTAAAGATGGTGTAAACAGAACATAGTCCTAGTGTAAGTCATAGTGAAACCATATCTGCCCATTTAAACCAAGACAAGCAGAGAGGGCTCAACACATTTTCCAGAGCACACAGATGTTGGAAAGCTCCCAGACAGTAAAGTATCACCTTCACTGACAGCAGACTTTGTGGAAGAAACCCCCAAGTCCTGTACAAGGACTCCAATTCATTTGTGGTGAATACTGTTTTGGTATGTGATGGTATGCAGGGAAAGCCCTCTGGAGTCTTTGTCGATTCATGAATGCAAAACTGCAGGGCAAAGTAATGAAAATATTATCTGTCCTGTAAATCTTACAAAACAATTCATTGAGCTAAGTGCTCGAAGAAAGAATAACCACTCTTCCAAATCTGTCACAGTGGAGCAAAAATGTCTTACACATGTTCAAAGTTGTTGAGCAACCCCAAAATACCTCAGCGTGGAGGCAGCACTGTTGTAATGGTACTTTGAGATGACAGTGTGCTAAAGCTATGCAGTTCTTAAATCATTTTTACAGATGTAGAACCCTGCCGGTATGATTTGTTGGTATATACTTTGTAGAGAAGTTTGACAGTGAAGTCAGACAGTAACAGGTGCTCATTAAGGATTACAAATGTGACCAATTTTACTTTCTTTCTTTCTGTTTTTCTTGCCAGCTTGATGGATTGTCCATCACTTTTGTCCAGACAGAACTATCTGAGCTAAAGCTATATTTCCATTAAATCTTCAGTTAGTTTGCAGATGACAAATCCTTTCTCCTGCCTTTTCTTCTAGCTTCACAATTAGGCTGACTTTTTTTTTTTTAAATTTTAGCGCTGCATGTGTCAGCGATTACTGAATAGATTGCCATACAGACGTTTATGTCCCCCTTTAGATGAAGTAACTTTGTTGATTTCTTGTCACAGCTCAGAACAACACAGGATGCAATTAGAACAACAATTAAGAATTCAGATTGTCTTGTGTTGAAGGTAACTTAGTCAAGAGCCAGGCTGGGGTTTTAATAAAGGGCAAAGTCAGCAGGCTGTCATCTTCTGTGAAGTCTCACAAACAGATTTTTCAGTTTCTATGACAATTCTTTTCCATGTGGAGCCACAATGCAGACATGCAGAAAGACACGGTCCATAGATTTAAAACTGAGAAAGTTCCGGTGTTCACAAGTCATTTTATAGTCACATTCAAGCAATTAGGCTAATTGGAACTCACAGGTGTACTTAATTTTGTTTATGTGATCTCACATTTTCTAACTGGCGTGTTGGTGATCACAGGTGTATTATATTTAATTGCATAGACTTTCTACTCTACTTGGCAACATAGAAATTATGTGCTTAAGGGGTGACACAATTATGAATCATTTGACATTTAAGTGGTTTTGCAAAGAGATGTACTTGCTTCTGTTGTGGACTGTATATTAAAAAGCTGATGCAGGAATTGTTAACAGGTGTGTGTGAGAAACAAATCACAAAGGCATGAGATTACTGCAGGGAACACTGAAGTGTGCAAGCAGCTACAGTGAATGACTGAATGATGAAAACAGTGGTATTCCTTGACTTTCACTGTCTGCTGAAAGCTGGCTTACCTCAGTCCCTGTTTTCTCACTTATAACATTTTTTTATTTTTTTATTGCTTTGTGCAATGTGGTGGGAATTGTATTTGCATGCAATTTCAGTCAAATTAAGTCTAAGTGGTTAGTTGACTACAGCTAAAGTGCAATTAGTACACTGGCTGTTTGGGGTAAATAAACAAAGCCCACTGGTCAAATCAACATCAATGATGCAAGTCTGCTTCACTTTCTGTATGAATGTATCTTTAGTCTGTTTTTTTGTTTGTTTGTTTTTTTGTTGTTGAAACGAACATCTAAAATCATAAAAATCAGAGACAGCATTGCTGAATAAAAGCAAAATATTTATTTTAATTCTGATGTTTATTTTTGGTTACTGTCATTTTACTAGATGAAACTTCCAATTAAAATCTAGCACATTCAGTCAGCTCTA